TCCCGAGGTTGAGCTCATCTCTCTGGAGCCCGATCCCCCTGACCCTCCTTCCATCTTCGCGGCTCCCATCTCTACATCCACTCGTCAGCCTGCGGATACCCCCTCCACGTCTCAGGCCCCTGCGCCGTCGACTGTCGAGTCCACACATACGTCTCGTGCTGACGCAGACGTCGAGGAACTCACACGGTTCACGGCAGACTTAGAGTCGGTCGTTCGCGACCTGATTCGAGAGTACCGCGACGTCTTTCCCCCGTATTTCTCATACAGCGGGATCCCCCCGATGCGCGGTGTTGAGCATTCTATCCAGCTCGTGCCTGACTATCGTGTTCACCATCAAGCATCGTACCCACTCTCGATCCGAGAGGCGACGGAACTCAAGCGTCAGCTTGAGGAGCTCCTTCGACTGGGTTTCATTAAACCCAGTAACTCCCCTTGGGGTGCACCTGTCCTCTTTGCTCGCAAAGCGGACGAAACTCTCCGCCTCTACATCGACTATCGCGGCCTTAACCGTTACACGGTTAAGAACAACTATACCATGCCCCGCGCGGATGAGTTGTTTGACCGTCTGGCAGACAACCGTTTTTTCACGAAGATCGATCTTCGTAGCGGTTATCACCAGATTCGCGTTGCCACAAAGGATCAGCCGAAAACCGCCTCTCGATCGCGCTTCAGCCACTACGAGTTCACGGTGATGCCATTCGGCCTCACCAATGCACCCGCCACCTTCCAGACGGCGATGAACGACATCTTCAGGGACATCCTTGAAGAATACGTTCTCGTATACCTGGACGACATCCTGGTCTACAGTCGTACCTTAGAAGACCATCTCAGACACCTCCACGATGTCCTACAGCGCTTACACAAGCATGGCTTCTATGCCAAGCTCAGTAAGTGCCGCTTTGCCCAGCGCAAAGTGGACTTCCTAGGACACCATGTGTCTGACCAGGGTCTCCGCATGGACGACGGAAAGATCACTGCTATTGCAGAGTGGCCCGTCCCTACATCTGCCAAGCAGCTTCGCAGTTTCCTAGGCCTCACCAGCTACTATAGTAATTTTATCCAGGGATACGTTAGGTATTCCTACGTCCTTACCTCTACCCTCCTCCGGAAGAACCCGCCGTGGTTTTGGACACCCCTGTGCGAGGACGCCTTTCACGCCCTCAAGAAGGTGGTGACCTGTGCACCGATTCTTCGCCTTCCCGATTTTGATCGTCCCTTTATCGTCACCACCGATGCGTCAGATTTTGCAGTAGGAGTTGTCCTTTCTCAGGTGTTTCCCTCTCCTCCAGATTCACCTTACCCCCATGTTCCTCCTTCCCCCCCCCCTCCTGCTGACACTGCTTCTCGACTGACGCCTACCCTCCCACCACTTTCCTCCACTGACAGTCCTCCTGTTACTTACTCCCCGACCATCGCGGAGGATGGGACTGTCGAGGCTCGTGCTGGGGATTGCCGGATCGCTTTCTACTCCCGTCAGCTATTGTCTGCCGAGATAAACTACACTGTCGATGAACGTGAGGTTCTCGCAGTAGTTTATGCTACCCGACATTGGCGTCATTATCTGCACGAGGCGCCCTTCACGGTGCGCACGGACAACTCAGTTGTCAAGGCTTTCCTCACGAAGCCTAAGTTTTCCCCTCGACAGGCACGCTGGTGGCGTGACTTATCCAAGTTCAGTTTCACCACTCAACCCATCAAGGGTGAAACGAACCGTGTCGCCGATGCCTTGTCCCGCCGTCCTGATCACAATCAGGAACCCATCCAGCTTGCTGCCATCTCCATCACCACTGTTGATCAGTCGGTGATCGATGCGTATCGCACTCAGTACCGCCACTGCCCCGATTATCGCGTCATCCACGCCACACTGCGGAGTGGCAAGACCGTTCCTTCCTACTCCCTCGGGGAGAACGGCCTCGTGTACTGGCATGGTAGATCTGGTCAGCTAGAACCACGTATCTGCGTTCCCTCCACCGGGCAGCTCCGCGTCCAGGCTGTAGCTGAGTTCCATGACCAGGCAACTGCCGGTCATATGGGTTTCCACAAGACGTTGGTTCGTGTTTGCCGCCTATACGTCTGGCCGAAGTCCAAGGACTTTGTCAAAGCCTACATCCAGGAGTGTCCTACCTGTCAGGAGGTGAACAGTGTGAACCACCTTCCGTATGGGTTACTTCAGCCCCTACCCATACCTGAAGGTCGTTGGCAGTCCATCTCGATGGATTTCATTGGTCCCCTCCGCCCACCCACTCAGCGTGGTCATGATGCTATCTTGGTCGTCGTCGATCGCTTCACGAAGCGTGCACGTTTTGTTCCGTGCCGCTATCGCATTAGCGCTCGTGAGGTCGCCGACGTCGTCTTCGACCGAGTCGTGAGAGATCACGGCTTACCTCAGAGCATCATCTCCGACCGTGACCCGCGCTTTACCAGCACATTATGGCGACGCCTACACGAGGTGTACGGATCCCAGCTCCCTTCTCATCGTCTTACCACCCTCAGACGGATGGTCAGACTGAGGTCACCAACAAAACTCTCGGTAATATCCTCCGAAAGTTTGTTAGGGATGACCAGCGGTGGGACTTACCCCATGCGGAGATTGCGTACAACCACGCTGTTTCGCCAGCCACGGGGATGTCGCCATTTTGTTGCGACCTCGGCTACCACCCTCGCGTACCCGCGGATTTCCTATGATCATCGCGGTTGCGCCAAGACACTCGTTGCCCTGCGCTTGACGATTGGATCGCTCACATGGCGGCGATTATGAAGCGCGCACACGAGAGTTTAGCCGACTCCCATACTCGCATGGCCGCACGAGCGAACCGATCACGAATGGATCATTCATTCAAAGTCGGTGACGATGTGCTCGTCGACGCACGCCACTTACAGCTCGAAGCAGATACGCTTCGCAAGTTCAGCCGTCGTTTCTTCGGTCCATGCCGCATCCTTCAGGCCGTCGGTTCTGATACTGTCGCTAGTCCGGTCAGCTTCCGTGTGAAGCTACCTGATTACATTTGAGAGGCTCGCGTACACGATGTTTACCACGTCTCCTTGCCGCGTCCTTATCGCAGACCGTCCGAGCGCTTCGCCGGACGCCCTTAGGAGCGTCCTCCACCTATCATGGTGGACGGTCACGAGGAGTTCGTTGTTTCCGACATCGTATCACGCCGAGTTACCGACTATAACCCTCCACGCATCGAGTACCTTGTGCGTTGGAAGGGCTACCCTGATGAGGAGGCTACTTGAGAGCCCCTCGAGCACTTGCAGCACGCCAGGATGTTGGTGCGTACATATAATCGTGCTCGTCGTGCTGAGACATCTGCTTCTACTCAGCCGACTGACCCTCTTCCTCCTCCTCCGGCTGAGGAGATTGCTGAGGACGCGCCCGCTCCCTCTGAGGCCATTCCTCAGCCGCAGACGGTCGCCTCCGAGCGTCCACAGCGCACTCATCGTCGCCCTTTGCGTTACGATGACTGACACTCTTATCCTCTATCTTTCCCCACTGACTCACACTATCAGGTACTCCATCATCATCTCTTCTTCAGGATGTCAGCGTTTTGCGGCTCTGCTTCGACATCGACTCCACTGCTACTTCATCGACGTCATCGACCACTTCGACGACTTCAACTACTTTGGACGTGACTACTTCACGTCACCACCCTACCCTGCATACTCCCTTGCCTATGTCGCATGATGGGTCTCACTTAGCTGGGTCTCTTTGAGTTTGGCTCTCCCTTGGTATCGCATAGGCATTGGGACCGTAGCGTTATCTTGGCTTCCTTGCTCCCAGACCTAGCTCCCTCTCCCAGTCGGTGAGTTATGTGCATGTTTCCCCTTACCCACTGCCCTCATCACCCTTGCGCCGGCTATTGCATGCCTCCAATTCGGCATAGCTCCACCCTATTCCAGGCTCCCCTTTTCATGGTCGACCCTGCATGGTGTCACCCTTTTGTCGAGCATTACCTGCCTTGATGGTCTATCTGTTAGGGTTATTGGTTTTGTTTCGCTACCACTCTCCCACCTTGAGCCTGATGACCTATCCCAGCTTCATGTGTGACTGCCCTTAGGAGTTTCAATTCTTAGACTGCATTCACCCCCTCTGAGACCATCCCACTCTTAGTGGTTCAGCGACATGACATTATCTTGTGACATATTGCTCTTTTCCTTTCAGCACTGAGGCCACTGCCTCCAGGACTTTAGGATTGTATCATAGTACATTTCATTTTCTGCTGTTAGTTAGGATATGTATACTAGACATTTGGTTTTCTTTTGACATTATGTACCTTAGGATGCATCGCATGGACTCCGCATGGAGCTTGCTCCGCATCCTATATTTCTCAGCTTTCTTTATTGCAGAGTTCCGCTGCTTTTCCGCATAGCGTGTTTATGGCTCTTGCGATCCTTTACAGGTCCGAGGATCGTGCAGCGGGCCTTCATCCGCCCTGGTCTACAGCCAGGGCCTATTTGGCTATTTGCCCAGTTCGGCCTGTGGGACCAGGCCGTGGCCTGACCCCACAGGCCGTGTGCTGTTCTAGTCCTGTCCGGTACCACTATCGGTACCAGTCCAGTCCAGTCCAGTCAGTCAGTCCGCTGGGGGTAAACCCCAGCAGTTGTCTGTTTTTCCTTATTCTTCATTTGCACAGATTGGAGTACGTGCGTGTTGAGTCTGCGTTGGAGCTGCGCTGTCCCTTCCATCTCCATCTCCATCTCCCCCATCCTCATCCCGTCGTCTTGATCCTGACGGACCACCATCCCTGCGGGTCCGTCACATACTTGCATTGTAGCATCCTGTATTTGGACCCCAATAGCAGCATAAAGGAAGTTGTTTTTTTTGTGTGCTTCATTCGTTTTTCAATGGGACAGACGCTTGTACTGAGGGCACAGTCTCACCAGTACCTCATAGAATGTATCTGATGGCTATCACAGCATGTGGGGAAGTTTTCTTTTTTTTCCTTCTTTTTTTCTTGGTTTTGTTATATTTGGGATGTAACAGCGGTAAGTACCGGTTTAGAAATAAGAATGGGACCCAGGCTTAGCAAAACTCGGTGCGCAATGAAATTCGCGTTCGCCAAAAACAAGATCAGAGGTAGTGGTGGTTTAAATAATATGTTTATTCTTATTACTCTTATTATTATTTCTATTATTATTTGTCTCTCCACCCTCCTACCGCTCTCTCTCTCTCACACACACACACACAAAATGTTCGCTTTCCGCCACAAGGCTCTCACAACACCCGCCGTCCCTACCTTTCCTCCCCAGGAGGCAGAACACCCTAATGCTTTCGACGTGCCTGATGACACACATGTGCATGCCATCGAAATTTTAACAGTGATTGGGCGCATGAGAAAATCTGACGCTGCCTCGCAAACGCGCACGTGCATTGGTACTGGGCCGGTTTCTGGGTACCGTTATAACGCGCCACCAAATTCCAAAATTGCCGCGCATGCAGGGGACCGGTGGGGCCCAATCGAACAGTAGGGCCCCGCATGCCGAGCCGTCCCCAACCTCTGAAAGTTGCTGCAGCACGCGGGCCGCGACTCCGAAAAAATAGTTGTGACAAGCATAGGTCCCCCTTTTTCTTTGTTCTATTTGGGATGTAACGGCGGTAAGTACCAGTCTAGAGATAAGAATGGGACCCAGGCTTGGCAAAACTCGGTGCGCAATGAAACAGGTTCGGCAAAAACAGGATTGGAGGTAGTGGTGTTTTAAAGAATATGTTTATTCTTATTCTTATTCTTATTATTTTTTGTCTCTCCACCCTCCTACCATTCTCTCTCTCTCTCACACACAAAATGTTCACTTTCCGCCACGTGGCTCTCACAGCACCCGCCGTCGCTACCTTTATTCCCCAGGAGGCAGAACACCCTAATGCTTTCGACGTGCCTGATGACGCACGTGTGCATGCCATCAAAAATTTCACAGCGATTGGACGCACGCGAAAATCCGACGCTGCCTCGCAAACGCGCACATGCACTGGTACCGGGCTGGTTTCTGGGTACCGTTGTAACGCGCCACCAAATTCCAAAACTGCCCCGCATGCAGGGTACCGGCAAGGCCCAATCAAACAGTAGGGCCCCGCATGCCGACCCGCCCCCAACCTCTGAAAGTTGCTGCAGCACGTGGGCCTCGACTCCGAAAAAATAGTTGAGACAAGCATACGTCCCCCCTTTTCTACAATACTGCAGAGGATTTCCCGAACTCTTTTCTACCACCAGAGAACTCTTTGGTAGATCTTGCTTGGTTTGGACAGAGTGAATAGCTAGTAGTGGATTGGAAATTTGGCAGCCCTCTATAGAGGCTGCTCACGGTAAGAAGAATATTACGGTACACCTAGGGTTGGCTCCTAATAATCTATGCTGTTTCTGTTGTTGTTCTGAGGAAGAATTCCAGGTCCCCCATGGTATTTTCCCGGGGCAATCAATGCTGACAATTCTCAAGAGATTCTTGTGACACTCATAGTAGTGGATTGGAAATTTGGCAGCCCTCTATAGACGTAAGCTGAAGAGGCTGTTCACTGTAAGAAGAATATTAGGGTACACCCAGGGTTTGCTCATGATACTCTATGCTGTTTCTGTTGTTGTTCCGTGGGATTTTCTCAGGGCAATCAATGCTGACAATTCTCCAGAGATTCTTGTGACATTCATCGAACACTTGTTTCAGTGAGGACGCTGGAGCCATTTTCCCCGAGCCGGGCAACAGCGCCAGGGCTTCCAGGCCATATGTGAGGATTCCGGGCCTCATGGTTCTTCATTTGTAAAAAAAGGAGTTCACCCACAATTGTCCTCTTGGGACAATGTACCGAGGGGCCATTTGTTTGATTTCCTTTTTTGTACAGGCCTCACTCATGCCAAAGGCATAAAGAAATTCAAGATACGTTTCAGATTTATTTATTCCTTCTTTTTGAGCCTGCTCAACTCAACTGCGTATGTGGGGCTTGGGCCCAGGGTTACCACATGACCAGAATAAAATCATTCGAAATTACCTGGGGCTGGTCAGTCGAGGCCTTTTGGCTAAGATCAAGTGAAGTATCTGTTCTGATCAGTTTAATATCTGATCCTCAAAAAAAAAAAAAAAAAAAAAAAAAAATTGTAAAATTGTACAGGCCTGAATGGGGTCCAGCGTCCCTCACAATGAAGGCAACCTTTTGGTATGACCCAGGCACACCGGCCAGGTTCATACTGCGGTCGCACAGGCCATAGGTCCCCAACCAATGATTGAGAATCAACAACTTCCTACCTATCTACACTCCAGCTAAACAGTCTACTTCAAGAGGTTTTTTTTTTTTTTTTTTTTGGAGCATTTCTCGATTCATGTGTGTCATGCTGCGCAGGGGGCATGCTAATCTTCTCTGTATCGTTGGAATTTTAACGGATGTCGCAAAGGACAAGACACATTTCGAACAACCTACCATTTATGTAGAGATGGAAAGGAGAAGACTTTCCACAGCTGCAGCCCACACCAGCAGCATGAACCTCCTAGTACCTCAAAAGCATTTATCTACAACAAGTATGCACACTCCAGCACAACAGTCTACGGGCCTGGTCACACTACTCGCCATACCAAGTTTGGCAAGTAGGCGCTGGTTGCACTTACTCGCCAAACTTGGGAATGAAAAATGTGTCAGACGGCTTGCCACACCCGCCGACACAAGTTGTGATGAGTGTTTTTGGTTTCCCCGTCTGTGCACGGCGGTTTGTGGATGGTGGTCCTTCGGACGTCTCCACAAACCGACTTCTTGGCGAGTGCAGGGCTTCACGAGTGCAGACATTTTTTTTTTTCACTTTTCTGTAGAAGAAATATAGCAGAGAGGACCCCGT